CCCTCCCGCTTCGCGGGAGGGAACTCTGACTTTGCGCGTAGGCCGAGACGGAAAATCACGTTCTAACCACGGGAAGTAAAATAAAGGACCCTCAGCCGCGTGCTTACCAACCTCGCCTTCGGCTCGGCTGGTAATTGCACTGGCGGCTGAGGATCCTTTTTTTCCCTCCTTAGGTTGGATATATACTATTAAAATGGTCTCTCCATTCTTCATCAGTGATCGTATTTATCTCCTTTTTCTTCCCCCTTCTAAACCAGTTCATGGCTCTCCACCTATCCGCCATCGATTTGCGCTCTGCCACGTTCTTCTGTTTTTCCTCTATCCACTTCTTAATCAGCCATTTTCTGGTGTTTCTGAGTACCCTCTTGGCTTCATTATACCTTTTTTTCGAGCTCCAATCCCTCTTCCTTCTAAACGTTTTCAGGTCCCGGAACATCTTCCTCCTCTTCTTCTCATACTCTCCATTGTCCCAGTGTGCTCTCTTCGAGGGATTGCTCCCTAAAATCATTCTCGCCTCCTGTGCCGCCTTCGTTGTCACCTTGTAACGAACATGTGGGGATGTTCGTTAGGAACACTAAAAACGATCTGTAAACAGCGAGACTCCTACAACGTTGAATTAAAATCCGTGAGTAAGAATCCAAGAGCGAGAGAGTGAGAGCCCCTTATCCACTTCCGAGTGGCTTATTTTCGATTAAAGTTATCGATTCCGTTTATTAGTAAGGATTAGTAATTACGCGTCTTTGAGGGCCCAGAAAAATTATCGTGAAGAAGGGTCAACATTATAGAGTCATCCGGTTCTTTTTATGGGGTTCACCCTATTGTTAATCTTGCGGGTAATCGAATAGGTCCGGCTGAAATGCCGGCGCTCCAATTTCGTTGGATTTTCAGGGGTTAATTGGTTACGTTTTTGTTTTGGGTGGAAGGTCGTTCGGAGCGAGTGCAACCATCGTCTCCAACGAATCGCCAGGTTGCCTTTGGGTTTTTAATGAGAGAAACGAGTTGAGCAGGAATTAATATTGGAGTCATAACAAGTGCCGGTAACTTGTCTTTTAACCCCGAAAATTCCGGAGATCCGATCCGTGGGAAGCGCCAAAGACCCTTCGTAATTATCCGAACGACAAACAGTTCGGCCTAGTCTCGCGTAATAATTAATAAAAAGGAACTAGTTTTGTGTTAGGTGATGAGAGAAGAGTTAAGTGAGATTTGAATAATCGCGCTAGGTCGTGAGACTCGCGATTGATTGTCGTTAGATTCGCACCTTCGAGGGGCGTGTCCGCACCAATCAAAATTCGGGTGATTGAGCGGTGAATTCCCCGCTCTGAGGTGTCTCGAGACGCTCGTGAGTTCGGTAGTTCGGCGGTGGCCTTTGACCTCACCAGAACTAGTGCCAGTACAGTGCCTATCTTAGGAATTAGAGTGCCTATATTTGGATAAGTGTATCTACACGATGGCGAAGAACACCCCAAAGAGGGGTAAGAAACCCAAAGTGAGTTTTTAGTTCGGTTTACCTATTTTTCCGAATTCATTTCGGCTTTTAGTTATTCGACTACGGGGTCTTCAGCCCCGTACGTCGCATTTTATTCCGGTAAAACGGTGATTGTGACGCTTAATCCAAATTGTGAGGTGCCGATTCCCCCCTTTTTTCACTCATGATTGGGTGGTTTTCGTGATTTTTGGTGGGTTATTCAAGGGGATAATTACTCCCGTTTAATTCCCAGAGCGTGTCCATTTCCGTTATACGTGGGCTTTTGCGCGTAAGAAATTCCACTCGTGTTTGAATTGAGTTGGTTCGCGTANACGATGGCGAAGAACACCCCAAAGAGGGGTAAGAAACCCAAAGTGAGTTTTTAGTTCGGTTTACCTATTTTTCCGAATTCATTTCGGCTTTTAGTTATTCGACTGCGGGGTCTTCAGCCCCGTACGTCGCATTTTATTCCGGTAAAACGGTGATTGTGACGCTTAATCCAAATTGTGAGGTGCCGATCCCCCCTTTTTTTCACTCATGATTGGGTGGTTTTCGTGATTTTTGGTGGGTTATTCAAGGGGATAATTACTCCCGTTTAATTGCCAGAGCGCGTCCATTCCCGTTATACGTGGGCTTTTGCGCGTAAGAAATTCCACTCGTGTTTGAATTGAGTTGGTTCGCGTAGAAAGTTAATTAAAATTAAAGTTTGTGGATCAATGTGTTCGGGGGGCTTCCCTGAGTAATTTATCTCAGGGTTTCCGAAAATTCGCTCTGCCGATTTCCGGATATTCCATTTTTGGTTTTTATGGATTTCCAGCCCATTCTCGCTGGCGTGTACGCCGTGTTTCTCGAGGGGGAATTCCCCCCGACTCTCGACTCCCCCTCAGATACTCATCCACGTTTACACGTGGCTATTCTCGCTTCACGCGAGCCTTTTAGCGTTTAGAATTCCGCTCGGGGATTAATGAACCTGGGGCGGCTAATTGTTTAGGAAAAATTATTTTTTTGGTATTGTTGTCTTCGGTAGACTCTCCCGGACATTTTGTCTCAGGGTCCGTAATTTTTGACTCTGCCATTTTCGAGTTATGGCAAGTTGAGTTTTACGGAATTTCAGCCGTTTTGGCTGGTACGAAAAATCGATGGTGGAATACGTTCTCCTCTCTCTCGCTCCCATTGTCGCCCGCATACCTTTCCCCCCAATTCTCGGAATTCTCGAGTATTTAGGGATTAGCGTGTATTTCTACTCTCCCCAAATGTTTATTTCGGCATATTTGAGGTATTTATCGGTGATATTAATTTCTTCGAATATTTTTGTCAGATTAGACTATTTTCTATCAGAGTACGGAATTAATATTATTGTTAGTATTGTTAGTTATTAATTGTAGATTTTTTTCTTTTTTTTAATATTTTTTTTTGGGAGAATTGAAATGTCTTTTTTTTGTGAAAAATTGGTGATTTTCATATTTCAGTAGTGAAACACGTAAGAACGATATTGATTTCTTTTCCTTTTTTTTGGTAGTTTTGGCCACCCAATACCCGTCTCCACCTGAAATCCACCCCTCTCTCCACAACCTAGCACACTGAGTGAACCCAGGACCGTTACGTTTCCCCATAAATCTAGTTTTCTCCCTTTTTGTGTAAATTTTTGAGGTTTTGGAATCAATTAGAATTGGTTTTGTAGAATCATCCGGTTTGGTAATTCCGGCTAAAAATTACCTGGCGCCTATAGATTTTTGTATTTTTGAGTTTAACTAGATGAAGGGGAAGAAGGGCGAAGGTAATAGGCATTTTTAACCCCCATACGAAAATGTCACGTTACAACCTCCACCAGTGTCGTCCATCTCTCCTCTAGCCCTTCCCTTAACTCCCCTCTGTTCACCCACTCTCCTCTCCAGTTTTTCTTAAATTCGTCTTCCCGATCTTCTTTCCATTTCAACCTCACTTTATTGTTGCTGCTTCCCTTATCTTTTGTTTCTTCTCTGTTCCATTCCACTCTGCAAATGATCGGTAGGTGGTCTGATCCTTCTTGATCGGTCACCTCCATCTCCCTGAACCACTCGGGGGCCTCTTCCCCCTCCATTTTAACTATTATATAGTCTAGTACACTCCCCAATCCTGCTCCTTCCCCTATAAATGTAATTTTCCCTTCCTGATCTCTTTTAGCTCTCCCGTTCTGGATTAGCAGTGCTCTTTCCTCACACCACTCTTCCTCACTCACATCAGCCTTTTCCCCTCGTTTCTAAGAGTTTTATCCTGTGAGTTTCTCTCCATTATCCGTGACTCTTGTTCTGTTCCACACTCTGGAACCCCCTGCAGTTCTCCAATCCTTGCGTTCAGATCGCCAGTGATGATCAGCCTTTCCTCCGAGCCCTCCATCTCCACTAGTTCGTCAATATTCCTCAAGGCCCCCTTCAAGTTCTTCCTGTCGTTGACATAAGTGCTCACCACCTTCTATCCTATGCCGGTCTTCTTCTCTTTGATTTTCAGCATAAGGCCATATTCCCATTCCTTAACTGTCCAGTCTGCTTCCAAAGACCTTCTGACACCTATTAAATGTCCTCCACTTGCCTTCCGTCTTTTATTCACTCTCTTTGCTTCTTTTCCGAACCATTGGAATTGCTTATTTACCTTCTCCATCATCTTTCCCAAAGCTTTTTTCTCCAGATGAGTTTGTTGGAACATCACAATATCCATTTCTTTCCATTTCTCTTCATTCTTTTCTATATTTGCTACATTTTCTATATTCCAGTGCATTATTCGTAGTACCTCGCCCTCCTACCTCCCCACATTACCTGCTTCCTGTGTAAAAGGGCCCTCTGCTTCCACTCCTCTCCGTACTATCCTTCAGCTTCGTTTCTCCTTTCCTTTCATCCCATTTCAACGAAGTCCCGTCCACACTGAAACAGTTGTAGCCTGTGCTGACCTGCCTTCCTTTCTTCCTCCAGTTTCTTGCCTCCTTCCCTATCCACTCCTGTACCTCTTTCTGCCTGTCTGTGAAGTCGTCCTGCATGAACACTCCCCATCCTCGCTCTCTCAGTTTCGGCCTCCCCTTCATTATTTCCTTTTTGTTCTCCAGCTCCTCAGTCCTGGCTAGCCAGCCTCCGTTGCCCCTTCTATCCAACTTTTCTATCCTTACTTTCACGTCCAACTCCTTCAGAATCTATTCCTCTAATTCCTCCTTCCTCTTCCTTGATAATAGAATTAATCCTTCAATTATGAAGTTCTTTCTCTTTACTCGTCTCATCTCTTGCTCAGCATTCCATTCCGCCTCCTCCAGGCCCCTCGGTGGTAGATTATACAATTTTGTTGCCTCCTCCCCTTTTCTGATCTCCGCGTCTCAGTCCTCCTCTATCGAGATATTGCGATCTCCTCCATTTTGGCTGTCAACCGGTCCCTTCTCACTATACTCCTCATCTTCGTCTTTCGTCTCCCAGTATCCAACATCGCCCGATGTTTTATTGTCCTCCTTTCCTTTTCCCGTGCCTTCCTCTTCTGGATCCTTCGCTCTTCTTCTCCATTTTAACGCTATTTCCTTCTATTCCTTTACTCTTTTAGCCAGTACTTCCGCTTCCTCCTCCACCTCTCTCAATCTTTCTTGTACTTCTCTGAGTTGATCGTCTTCCCAGTGCTTTGTCCTCTCTTCTTCCTCCCTTCTTCTTTCACATTCCCCGCACTTGCCATTTTCCATCCCTTTCCTTACCTCTGTCCTGATTAGGTACTCCATATCCTCTATTCTGGCTTCCCATTCCTCTTTCTGCCTCTTTTCCCAATCCGCCATCCATTTCTCGAGTCTTTCGCAGTTGATAAACCCTAACTCATCCTCCTCCTCCAGCGTCGATTCCCCTTCGCTGTCATTGTTATCTCCAGCCTCCCCCCTTCTGTTCTCCTCTCCCACCCTCTCTAGGTCTAGTGATTCCTGTGTTGAGCTCCTCCCTGGCTCCAGTCGTTGTTGTCCTCCCTCTGCTTTATTCCCTGATGCTCTCTGCACACAACTTGGCGACCTGTCCCTATTATCCTCTTCCTCTACCACCTCCTCGTTCTTGTCATCATTTCCGCTTGCCTTTTCCCCTGCCCTATCCTCCTCCCCCTCTTCCTCACTGCCTTCTCCCTCTTTTTGACTCCTCCGCGTCGTGGGTGTTTCTGTTACCCCTATTTCCTCGCTGTTTTTGTCTTTCTCCTTTCCGTCGGGTTTCCTCTGAAGGTCTTTTGTAGCCTTGCATGTCTCTTTCTTCATGTTCACGTTGCTGCCCTGACTTCCTTCCTTTCGTTCCTCTCCCTTCCTCACATTCTTGCCCATCTCCTCCACCTCTTCTCTCAAGTCTGAGTCCTTCCGTCCTTTCCCACTGTCACCCGTCTCTTCCGCCTCTTCTCTCAGGACTACCTCCTTCTGTCCTTTCCCACTGACAGTTTCCCTCTCCCAGAAATCCTCCAGTTTCTTCACTGCCAACCTCGTTCTGTTTTTCGCTCCTGAGCCTCCCTCTACCACTTCTTTATCGACCGCTGCCTTCTTCTTGCCTCTTCTCTTCACTGTAAATGTCTCCATCGCCTTTTCTCGTTTCCCTTTCCATCCGTTCCTCCTTTCTTGGCATCGACCTCCCTCCTCAGTGGTTATGGCTCCCCCGTCCCTTTCCACCCCTCACCTATGCACTTCCCGCACTTTCCTTAACCTCCACCGTACTACGGTACTTTTTTCCCTCCCTTATCTTTCCTACAGACGCGTTATCAGCCTACTGGCTGATAGTACTTCAACACCCACTCACTCTTTCCACTTTTCTCCTCCTTTTTATTACACTTTCAGCTGTTTTTTAAGCTTTTTCTACCTAATTAGCCGTTAAAACGACAGAGCGTCCCAAACCGCGTCCGACCCGTGTCAGTCCCTCTCGCCGCGGCCCCTCACAGAAACTAATAAATCAAAACGAAACGAAGAGAAAATAAATAATATTGATTGTCGAGAATGGCTAGAATTGTTTGGCGATAACATAAAGAAGATAAAACAATGCCGTAGAAATGATGATCAACTGGACGTCATCTCGGAAGCGTGGGCGTCTCGGAAGCGTTGGACTAAGTGGCGAGGCTGGCCGTCGAAGATGAAGCTGTCGGAGTCTGGTCGGAGTCGTGTCGATGTGGAAGACGATGATGGGCCGTTGCTGGGGGCAGTAGATATATAGGGCCGGTTCTGGATCAACGTTTCTGGGGCGAGCGCTGGAGACTTGTGGAAGAGGGCCCCGCAAGTGGGTGGTGGGGTGGGATTAATTAATTGGCGGTTTAATTCGCGGTTTTGATTCGTGGTTTTAATTCGCGGATTTTACATTTCGTCGATTCTTGGTGCAAGAAGTATGGGAGAAGCCCCCGCGAGTGGGTGGTGGGATTAATCAAGTCACGGCTTTAATTCACGGTTTTCAGCCCCGATTTCAATTCGCGGTTTTCAGTCCCGATTTTGATCCACGGTTTTAATTCGCGCTTTGGTGGGATTACTTAATTCGCGGTTTTAATTCGCGGTTTCGATTCGCGGTTTTAATTCGCGGATTTCACATTTCGTCGATTCGGGGGTCCAGAGCTATGGGAGATTCCCCATGAGTGGATGGTGGGGAGGTGGGGTATATTAATTCGCGTTTTAATTCGCGTTTCAATTCGCGATTTTAATTCGCGATTTAGTTCGCGGTTTTAATTCGCGGTTTAGTTCACGGTTTTGATTCGCGGTTTTGATTCACGGTTTTAATTCGCGGCTTTAATTCGCGGTTTAGTTCGCGGTTTTGATTCACGGTTTTAAATCGCGGCTTTAATTGACGGCTTTGTCCNTTCGCGGATTTCACATTTCGTCGATTCGGGGGTCCAGAGCTATGGGAGATTCCCCATGAGTGGATAGTGGGGAGGTGGGGTATATTAATTCGCGTTTTAATTCGCGTTTCAATTCGCGGTTTTAATTCGCGATTTAGTTCGCGGTTTCAATTCGCGGTTTAGTTCACGGTTTTGATTCGCGGTTTTAATTCGCGGCTTTAATTCGCGGTTCAGTTTGCGGTTTTGATTCACGGTTTTAATTGGCGGCTTTAATTGACGGTTTTGACTCACGATCTTAATTCACGTTTTTCATTTTAATTAGCGCTTTTCATCTGCAGATTCAATTCGTATCTTTAACTCGCGCTTTTTATTCGCGGTTTTGATTTGTGGCTTGATCCGCGGCTTTAATTCGCGGTTTGAATGGAGGAAGGGGGAAACTGTGTAGGAAGGGGGGGGAATAACATATAACACTCCAAGTTCAGGGGTACAACATCAGTTTGTATTGATAATAATATATACAACAAATAGATATACAACAAATATTCAAACATACCCCCCCTCCCACTACTATCTACTTGGTCGACATATACTGCTTATGCCGGCAAGTAACTCGCAGTTACGTCTACGCTCTGTGCTGCCATCCGAGTGGAGGTAGATCGATGGTGCCAATTCCATAGAGACCTTCAGGGCTCACCGCTGTCAATAGTTCCCAGCTCTCCCGTGACAGGAGCATGTATGCTCTGTTCACGATGAGCATCCAGCCTTGTGGAGCCAGATTGATCGGTCTGACTGCCCCACCCATCAAACCAGCCTCGATTCTGTCCATGATGAGCTCATCCAGCTCATCCCTCGTGGTCTGCTGTGTCCAAGCTTCTGGGAAGTATGTCCCATCCCTCAGCTGGACATACCCCGGATATCCCTGCAAACAGAAAGACAAGAAAAATCAACATTATGATAAACGGGGGGGGGGGGTTCTAGGAAGGACATTGGGGGGTGAAAAAAGAACCAGAGGTTGGTACTTACCACAGCTGGCGGGTAAAACATGAGGTTCTCAGCATCCTCATGCTGTTGGGGCTGTTGATACTGTTGATGGTACTGGGGTTGCTGCTGCTGCTGCTCTTGAAGCCCTCCCACTGGGGTGACGATACCATCACCATAACCACTATCGTCATCCTCAATATCCATTCCATCTTCATCATCTTCAGTCTCCATGGATACTTCACAACTGGGGCCTTCCCAGACGATAACGACATCGTCGGGAGTGTCACCATCAACATCCATCTCTTGATGGACATGGCTGGGTCCTTCCCAGATGATGACGACCTCATCACCTTCTCCAGTCTCCATCCCATGAGACTCTCGGCTGGGATCTCCATGGATGATGATGACATCATCCTCGTCTTCTCCTTCCTCTTCTTTGTCTTCTCCTTCTTCTTCTTTATGTTCACCTTCTTCTTCTCCTCCAATTACCTGACGCTCATTGGGTGATTCATCCATATCCATTATCTGCTGCCGCTGAGCTCGCTCCGCATCCTCTCCTGAAAGTCCTCATTGAGCAAAAACTCCCACATCAAACCTGTTGAAGAGCGACAGGTAGTCCACACTGTTCCTGGAAGGTCCAACATCAAATGAGCAGCGTTGACGGGAAAATGTTGGAGAATGGACTCATTTTCTACGTGGAGAGTCATAGTCTTCACCAACTCCTCAGTGAGATACTCAGCTGTATAACACCTGAGCCACTCCCGTGGGCAAAAAACATTATCCGTGATGGCGACATATTCACTTGTTGGATTCATTTTTCACAAAAAAACACGAGCACACTTTAACAGAGTAAACACAGATAAAATTTGATGTTTTGCTGTTCTCTAAAGACGTTGAAGGACTGTGAATTAAGGGTGACTGACAGACTGTATTTATAGAAAAGTGTAAGCTACCCCCACCATGAAAATTTTTTTGGGATTTTACACTAGGTGAATAGAAAAATGAGTGAGAGCACTTACCTGAAAAAGAGAAAAAATAAAGGTGAAGCTCAAGCAATAGTAGACCCAAAACTCTTCTTATAAGCCAGAACGAGTGCTTAATTACTTTATTGGAGTAGATAAACTATCAGACCTCTCACTACCAGCCCACCCTCGAAGAAAGAGGTAAACTTCTAAAATGCCTATCCTTCTGATCATTAGGGGTTTATTGCGAATGGCATCGACTCGAGATANAAAAAAAAAAAAAAAAAAAAAAATCCCGTAAAACACCAATATCTCAGTTATAAAATTTGAAAAATCCATAAGTTGTGAAATTAGGGGTATATAGAGAACTTCAAAGCCACTATCTGCATCCAAAATCTGTACACTGCCTCAACTTTCGAATCATAAAAGTTAAAAGGTTCATTAGTTGAAAGGGTTATCGATTGGGAAATTATCGGAGAGGTATGCTTAATCCCTCTGGAAAAAAATCTGCACTCTCCTCTGTCTCTATCTGATCAGCAGATTTAAAAGCTATATGACTTGGAGGGGCTATTCGGCGAGAATAAAAAATGTAGAAAGCTGTAGGACCACTCTCATAAATCATGACAATTTAGCTAGATAAGGGTTAAGAGGGTAAGAATGGGTCTTAGAAAAAAAGTGAAAGTATTTTAGACTCAATTTCCTCTCGAGATAAGTGATCTTGAGAACACCTTTTCACAAAAAAATTCTCGTCATCCGCGAAAACTGTTTTCCTAGATGATTTATCACCCTTATATCCAAGAATTTTAGCTAGATAAGGGTGAAGACAACAAGAATAAGAAAAAGTGAAAGTTTTCCAAACTCAATTTTCTCTCGAGAACGAAAACCTATTCACAAAAAATTATCTTGCCTTCTGCGAAAATTTCCGTCTCTATCGTTTTTTCCTCACATGATTTACCCCCATGATTTACCTCCCCCCCCTCACTATTGTTTCGACTATAAAACCGAGGTTTTTCCATGGTTTTTCATCAGTTCTGAGGTAAGACCAACGAGTAACGTCTCAGTTCTGTCACGATGAATTCTCTTGTGTGCAAGCAGTGGCTCAAGCCGTTGGAGGAAGAGTATATGAGCTCTTGAAGATAGAGCGAAGATCAGCGGGAATTCAACGAAATCTCCATAACATCCGGGATAAGACGCGAGAGGTCAAACAACTTTTGGATGGGGGTGTCTCTCAGGGTCAAAAATTGCGATTGACATATATGTTATCACGATTGAAAACATTCGAAGTTTCCTTTAAAGCCTTGGAAACCCTTGGGAGGGGGTTGAGAGAGAATTTAACCGATAGAGTGCGATGGGAGGATAATCAAAGTGCATTTGAAGGGCGCATGAGGACTGGCGTCATCATTAATTTGAAAAAACAAGATTTAATCAAATTTTTGAATGATGCTCGCCGAATGCTTTGTGTGCGACTTAAAAATGCTTTAAAAAGGGAAGGTGGTCTAAAAGTGAATGTAGTGTTATCGTGGAAATATGAAGTTAAAAAAAATGGAGAATTTTTGGAAGAAGACAAATTTTTCAGCACAAAAAATGAGATTATCTTGGAATCTACCGACGTCAACCAGTGGTTTGAAGAATTGATAAAAAATAAACTTTTAACCTGTAATGATTTTTCTTTGGCCTCAACAAATACTCAATAGACCCTCACCCAGAAGTCTCGATTATCCAAACACGGCCTACTCATTACCTTCGTTCTCGCAATCCGACAAGTCTGAAACGCCAAAAACCTTAACGCTAAAACTCGACTCCGGGAACAATCAGCAGCTCA